CGGGTTTTCGTAGTGCACTATCGCGGACCGAATTACCTCATTGATTACGCACCCCAAATTATAATTTACGTTGCTGTAATTCTCTACATCTACCTCTCCGTCAGTAAGTGTTCATTTCCTTTTCAATTGATTCTACCTTCCTGCAAGCTAGCGCTATTTTGTAAACTTCACTGAAATATTTTATCCTACCAATTCTCACAAAGGGATCAGCTCAGGAGATGGGGACGCGCTGACTGGAATGGGTGTATCCTCCGTACAGCTCGAAGTAAAAGGCACAAGTGTCTTATTTTCCATCGGACCTAGGGCATTGCCGACTGCTTGGAAGTTGCGCGTCCCAGCAAATCAGAGTTGGCAGGAAGAGGGAATTAGGAGGGGGGAGGGGGAGAAAAAGGGGTCATACGTTCTCGCCTCACTTTCTGCAGGTTATCGGAGCCTAGCCTCCTGGAAACCTACAAACCCTCCGGAACCGCCTCCGAGGCCGGGCTGCAATGAAGTGTGGTTATGACTGGTCACCCCTATTATAGCTAATTTGTGTACACTTGTAGCTTCCACCCGATATTTAACTTTCACACTATTTACACTTGCTGTAGGCTGAAGTACTCTTGAACCTTGCGCGTTCTCCCTCTACCTTTAAGTCTTGACTAGCATATTTGTGCCCCCAAATACACACACCAGGGTGCCAAGTGCAAACAACCAATCTCAGAAAACGCATTAATTTGTTCAACGTATTTTTTTATAACGGACAAAGCTGACCAAAGCATTTACCACGTCCTCAAAAAGTTGGCCGCTGGTAATGCATATGGTTAAAGCGATCGAATTCCTGATTCTACTGTGGATAACACCAGATTTCGCTTATAAAACTTAACAGCTGAACTAATATTTTAACGGCTAGGAGGACTGCCACATAGATCAGTTACATCCTTGATGACAAGCACTGAACAAATAAGATCCTTGATCGCCGTCTATAGTATAGAGTCTAGGCATGCAGCCGCTATATCTAAAGCCACATGCTCGTAAGAGTCCGACCGTTCTTGCGTCTCGTGGTGCTCAAAAAACCGCTTCTCAACAACCCGTCCATGTACAGTCCTAAATTCAGTGAGTCCGTTGATCACATTTACCAGGACATTACTACCTTTCTTGCATCGACAGAAAATGATAAAGGACAGTCTCTTTGCGTGAACGAAGAATAGTTCCTAGTTAGGAATGCCTTCAGTGAGACTTCGTCTATGTATTACAAACGTAAACCTAAGAACTGGATTTCGTTCGACATTATTCAGTTAGCGGATGATGCGCAGTGTTTCCGGATAACGGAGGACCTACACTTCTGAACACTGTGTCATCAGAGGAAGTGATAAACGAAAGCCAACTACAGCTAATATTGGCAAACTATAATTGCAACAGGCGTAAGCTGTCACTGTTGGTGACAGAAGAAAGCTCTGTCAGTGTCTTTGGTACTCGCCGAAGGATGATTCGTTTGTCAACGAAACCATCACTTTAAAAGCAGCCCTCCTTTCCACGACATTGAGTAGGCAATCGCCATACTAAGAAGCGCGCCCCTCTAAGTTGTTCAAGTCGCCGCCCGTGGGTGTACCTACAGTGAATTCTACTACAGCTATCCATGTTAAAACTATGATTGTTTGTGTTGCCGGAAGTCGGAACAATAATCCAATCTCTTTGAAACAACAGAGCCTCGGACGAAGATAAGCTGCCGGCGGAAGTCTACAGGAGTTGCTATAATTCTGTTTCTACACGATTTGGTAAGGTATTTCAACCTGCTTTTTCAAAAAGTGAATGACAGCATCGAAATTAGGGAGGCTGTAATTTCATTGGTATCGTTATATCTCGCAACTTTGGCCTTGGTCTGAACGCCGTAAAGCCATTTTTTCAACGGCCTCACTCCCAAAATGGTGTATTTCTCCTGGTTCGCAAGATACGCAGATTGCTTCTTCCATTCTATCAATTAGCAAATGCCAAGAAAGAATCGATTTTCGTTGAACATTTGTGTGCAGGCTACGAAGCTGTCTCTGATCTCTGCTATTACAAGAGTTCACGTTTTTGAAGATGCATTTAAAGTCCTTAGCCTTCAGCTTGCCGATATGTGACATCTAGACTGTCCTGTGTGGAGAAATAAGAATGCTGCGGCCTCAGCTCACAGATGGCGTGCCCACCGTTGGATTTCGTTGCCAGTCGGGGACAGCTGCTGCCGTTGCAATATAAGTAATTGACTCCGTTGCCTAGGTCTGAAACTGCATGTTCGAAATTGTGTTCCTTTCTGATGTACTTTTTCTAAATGTATGCTAAAAACGACATCACTGCCATGACCCCCCTCGATGAGTATCCTTTTGAACTTTTTTCACTCTGTAGGGGATACGCGAACGATGGAAGGTATGATAGGCTTAATGTCTCCCGCGTCTCAGCTGTTCAGTTGCCTACACTTCTTCAAAGTGATTCATTTATTTGCAATACTTTTTGTTCCTTCACAGATTGCCAAAGTGTTAATCTTGTTGCATTATTTTAGCTTACTTCGCAGTTAATAACTGGCTCTTTTTTCTTGGCAGACCACATTAATTGTGCCAAGTTTCTTTGTACCCTGCATCCTACACATGTTTCCAGTTGATGAGTCTTGAGATGGGACATTATATCCTCAATCTGGCTAGATACATCCATTTCATGCTTGCCTATCGCTCGTTTTTATTTCCCCCTGAAAGTCACTACCACAGTCTAGTGACGGGGATACTTCGGGGATGCTGTACGTTCACATTAACCCTTAATTCTCAATTCTTACAGAGAAAATCGAAATGGTGAAATCTAAATTCGGATTGGCTGTTGGCGCGTGTATCACGGTGGTCGCATCGCTGTTCATGTCAATGAGCGTCTGTGAAGCGGTCGGTCTAATTTCTTCGTCTGTTAGAGGCAGGTCAGTGGTGTTTTGTGTGCGTCTGTATTTTTTTCTAGCTTTGGTCATCGCATTTACACAACAACTAACGCACTACCTTTGAATCTGTTCAAAGGGACTTTGTAAACTTGATCTGCTAAGTAAATGCCTGCTTTCTTTTATCTGTTATTACCTTGTACGCCTCCGTTTTCAGTCGCCTCGTCTTCCAGCTGATAATGTTTGTTTCGTTAAAACTTTTCACCTTTCCCTTTCCTAAGGGAGTACTTCCCCTATCTGGTCGTTCTGATTGGCTTCGAGAATGTAAACATCTTCACAGAGTCCGTTGTTGCCACGCCCATCGACCTTCCCGTGAAGTATCGCATAGCGCAGGGTAAGTTATGTACCCTAAATTACATCATTATCTCCTATTTTTGTTGTTAGTAAATGCAATTTAACCCTACTCTCAGTATAGCCATCTCCACGAAATCTGTTGTTTTTGAGTTCTACAAAAGTTTGAAAAATCCCTGTGACCTCTCACCGCAAGAGTAGCAAGTGCATTGCTTTGCATCTTGGGGTCCTTCCACATATCAGGAGAAAAGCATTCACGGGCACGTGAGCTCTCTTGATTGCGTGATGGCATTGGAAGTCAGGAGTGCATTTCCAACGCAAACAATACTTATCATGTTCCGTCCTGAAATTGGAATAGATTGCGAACAGTTCTCCATCTGAAGGGAGAGGTTATGCACCAGCGGCTAAAGTGTCAGAGCGCTAGGGTCAAAATGAATGCGGAAAGAGTCCTGCTTCAAGTATTGTGTCGTGTGTGTGTGTGTGTTGTAGGCCATTGTTGGATCAGAAGTTCTCGCCGGAATCCAAACTGGTAGTAGTTGGTAGACGGACAAAAGCCGAGATCTCGACCGGCTTGAGCCAAAGGTCCAGTTCGACAGCTTTATTTGTTGTCAAAATGCGCGTCTGAGGTAGGTGCACTTACGATATTTCTTTGGCTATCTAACGTACTCTGAACCTCTTGACAGTAATAAGTAGGGCTCAACCGGATCAACGATCGCAGCCTTTTAAAATTATGTACGCTCCTTGCTTGTTATCTCCTTCTTTCAAGATTCCTATTGTCACCCGCACTGATAAAGCAATTGGCGGAATATACGGTCGGTCGTTTGATATTTCCTGTCACCACCTATTAGAAATCACTGTACCCCAAAACACGGTTTCGATCGCTTATGAAAGATCTAGCCACAAATCTAAGGCTCTAATACCATTCCCGTCCATCGCTTTTTGCGTGTTCTTAACGCCCAAATCTGCAAAAGACATGGTTAACTGTCCTGATTGTTTGCATTACCGTAGTAAAAAATAATCGAAGACCCCCTATGCTACTCGCTGTGTAGGCTCCAGGTTTTTTACATAGTGCTTCATTCATGTCTTAATTTAGATATTCGATAGATAGACTGGTAGCCTACTCAAAGTCTGACTTTGAGGTGTACTAAGGCACAACACGGTTACGTGAGTGAGTGAAGTACCCAGTAGAGTCATTTTAGAATTCAGTATTACCAATCCCATTGTTTACACTCCTTGGCGACATCGTCGTCAATCCTGTCTGATTAGAACGCGAGATGCTTAGTTCGAAAGTGCCAGACAATTCAATGCAGCAGAAGGACTTTTCCCAGTCCTCCAACTAGTGCACTGACAAACTAATCCGGTATTCTGCCTCGGAAAACATAATAGATTTGGCACATAACGCACCCTCCCCTTCCCTTTTCTATTCCACAGGTCTCGCAAAAGAGGGCTGGCCGATAACGAGGCGGCTACTCACACAGCTTGGTTGTATAGCCCTCGGATTCCTTACATTCAATCCAGACATTCAAGAGTTTTGCCTTATTGCTGTCGTGGGCTTGACAACCCAATTTTTCCTGCACCTCTTCTTCTTTGTCCCCGTGCTCGCCGTGGACATCCGCCGGATCGAGGTTTGTTATCTTTCTGTCTCTCAGCCAATAACTTATTTTGTTTAAATATCGACTTGGCAATCGTTAAGCGATTAGATCTCCTCCTCCCGCAACTAGTTATAAGCCACGGTCCCAGTGGTTCTAGCCAACAGGTCGCATTTCTCGGGTGTTGCAACGCCTGAGATTGGGAATGGTTGGCTAATGACGGCTAATAAGCGAGAAATGGTCCTTCCGGTCTACTGTGTTTTTGTCGATTATGTTCTTTTACACATTTAAATTTTGAAAACTAAAAAACCCGACGTAATACCTTTAAGTTTTACATCTCTTGTTTTTAAGAAAAAAAAAACTACGTGATTTTGAATAATCTAAGAGATTGGTTTCTAGTTTTTGATAGTCCTGAAAGGACATATTTTCTGCGTACTGTCTCCACAAACGTTTGTGGTTTCTTAACTTAATTGTCCTGCTTTTGTAGATAGTGAAGTAGCCAACTGTCTTTTTTCTAGAACTGCCAAGCTTATTTATCCCATCTCAAAGGGTCACAGTTATAATTACCCTCAGTATTACAGATGGATTTGTGCTAAATTCCAGGGGGCGGTTGTCGCTAGGCTTACTAGCTTCATTTTTAAGTGAATCAATGTTGGGGTTAGAAGGATTATATTGACGAAATGGGAATAAGTATCCCCGAAATTTAACCAAAGACCATGCACAATAAGGGGGGAGTATTTGCTTTTGTGTCCAGCCCCAGATCTAGGTGAACTATGATAATTCTCAGAAAAAACTTAAGCAAATATGGCCCATTGGAATAATATTATTTGCCGTGTTAAACTTCATCATTATGCTTTGGCGAGGACCTCTAGGTATCATAGTACACTTGAATACGTCGATGGAGAGTAGCGTATCTGGTTAAACGTTCATATAACAACCGTTGTTATTGCCTCCAGTTACTCCGCTTGGAATAGTTTTTTTGCCATGCATTCTTCACCTTCAGCACTTTCCAGCCCCCCTTGATCATTGTTCCGCTGGAAAGTCGTAAATTTTTATCTGTAGATTATGAAAAATCCTTGACTTTGAGAGGAAAGCTCTGTCACTGGAACGAGCGTTTTTTTCGCCCAACTTTTCGCGTTCGCACTTCAACGCACCAGCAGGAATACGGTTGATTAGGTTTGCACTGCATGCAGGGACGACATCAGTGGGTCAGATAGTTAAGTAGTTATTGCGACGATGATGATATCCCCGAAATTAACGACTGGGGTTAGGGTGATCAAGCAGTCATCGCAACAAGAACGATTGTGTGTCGAAAACTCAGTGATTGTGTAGCAACTGTATCCCGTAAAAGCAGTAG